CTAGACAAAGCTTTCTTATTCTATGTAAGTAGTAGAAGGTCAATGTGTATTTCTCAGGTCCAGACTCTGATGTACCCGTAAGCACGAGTGACGCTGATGCAGGCTTCCTCTTCGGTTTCTTGGGATCAGCCCTGACAGCCTGGAGGTGCTGGATGTGTAAAGCGGGAGGCCGGCTCGGGGAACGTGGTGAGTCAGGGCTGCGCTGGGCTGTCTAGTTCAGTGGTCTCGGGGGCAGGACTTGGAGACCCAGGCAATAGAGCCCAGCAGAGACAGGGTGGGAACTTGGGGAAAAAACCTCATGCAAATCTCATGCAGGGCTTCTTCCTATGAGAAGGTGGCGGCTTTCGGACTTGGGCAAGGTCAGTGCCCTGGCACAGAGCCGAGGCGCAGGCCCAAGGGCAGCAGCGGGGCCAGGGTAGGGACGGAGACAGCACAGGTCTGACAGCTGGCCTTGTCCCCGCTCTGCAAACAGCTAACAAGGACCTTGTGAGAGTGCCCAGGGGGGCCCAGGGCTGGTCTTGCAGTTGCCCTAAATCTCAGAGGGGCCCAGCCCTTCACAGGGGCAGGGAATACTGACCAGGCATGAGCATGGGCCCTGGCTCTGATGTCGAAGTTCAATACTTTAAAAAATTCAATTGGCGTGTAATAATTGTAAGTATTCATGGGCTGCTATGTGATATCTCAGCATGTACACCGCTAGGTAAGGATCAGATCAGGGTGACTGGCAGATCAGTCACTTCCAACATTTATATGTCTTTGCATTGGAAACATCCAAAAAATAACCTGATATTTGAAACTCCCTGACGGATAACAGAAAAAACAAACTCCTAGGACAGTAAAAAGAACCCTTTGCCCAAAGGGGATACAAGTGAATAAATAATAAATAATAATCATGAATATTTTGGACTATTTGAAATAGGCAGAGCAGAACCCAGAAAGGTCCTACCAATCTAGCAGGATTAAGTACTCTCTACCCTCTTGACATGGAGTCAGTTTGTAGGGAAAGAGACATAGAAAGCAAAGGAATTTGTTTAAGAAGACTAAGACCATACTTATAAATTCTCCTATGTTTTCCAGCTGTGCGAGTAAAAGAATTCAGGCACCTGATCTGAACTGTCCTTTCTCTGAGAGTCCACGGCTGTGTCCAAGCAGCCAATCCCAGGCAGCACCCAGTGACCAGAGCGTGGAAGGCGGAGGAGCCATTAACGATCATGTGGTGAAAGCTCATTGTGTCTTGCTAAAAATAGCATACTGTACTGGGATTCAACTTTGGAGGAGCTAATTAAAAAAATAAGTTCATTAATTATCTCCAACATGAACGAAAAAGCTAAAAGCAGTCCTCTCTAATTGTGGGAATACTACGGCTCTTTTTCTCTCTGTGTACTTTCTGTTTTCATTTCTCAAGTTTTACCTCTGTGTATTAATTTTGTAATCCGAAAAGTCATCATTTTATGAGTTCAAGATTAAACACAGTATGACACTGTCCTAGACCCGGTGGTGTCGATAAAGTTAGCAACGTGCCTCCTACGTCAGGTGCCTCATGGGATGGTTGTGAACGGTCCCTTGACCCTCACCTCCAGGGGTGCTAACTGAGGGGGGCTCCTGGCAGGATGCCAGCACCCTAGCTGTGGCATTCTTCTCTCCTCTGGGAGGACCATCGACAACAGAGACGGTGCATGGCTGGGAAACCCGCGGGCACACAAACTAGCAGGTCAGTCAGGCCCTGAGATCTGGCGGGTGCTGTTCAAATTTGGGTCTCTGTAAACTACAAACTTCTGGGGCTGGAGAGATGGCTCAGTGGTCTAAAGCACCTACTTGAAACAAGCTTGGCAAAGCACAGGGACCGTGGTTCGATCCCCAGCACCACATGCCAGCTAGACCCGCCCCCTGGTGGACTGAGCTGGCCACACACACACACACACACACAATAAATAAATGTAATAAATAAAAATAAATAAATAAAAAAGAGAATGTAGCTGTATATCTATCTAAAAAAAACAAAACAAAACAAAAAAAAACAACCAAACTTCTCCATGGAAAAGGCCATGTAGCAAACATTTCAGGCTTTGCGGTTGGTGTGATCTCTGTTACAAGACCTCAGTTTTGGTGCTAAGAAGCAGCCTGAGGCATCCACTCTGGGTAAGCGCGGCTGTGTTCCGGTAAGACTTTATCTACTGCGGCCGAGGACTTAGCTCAGTGGCACAGCACCTGCCTGACAAGCACGAGGTTGTGAGTTTGATTCCCAGTACAAACGAACAAACAAAAACAACCAAACAACTTTATCTACAAAGAAAGCAGTTTGCCACACCCAGAAGAGCGCCAGTTTTCTAACATAGTTGAAGCAGTAGAAGCCACCTCAGTTCTTTAAACAGATGGGTCATTCCAGAAGGCTGCTCCTCAAGCACTTGCCTTCGAGGGAAGGTCAGCGGGGACTCCGCACATTAAAGAAGGTGCCTTATGGTGCTTATGTTTTTGGCCACATAAGTTGTTGATCTTTGCCCAAAGTGTCTTAATTTTAGGAATAAATCTCTTTGGTTGTTGTTGTTATTCTTCGCTCAATGGACACAGGGTTTCAGTATGTAATACAGGCTGGCCCTAGGACCACTGGGTAGCCCCGGCTGGCTATGATCCTCCAAGCCTATCTGAAAGGTGTGCCAACAAAAAGCTCACAATAAGGTAAATCAAGGTACAGAAGAGCTGGCCATGTGCATTGAGACCAGAAAAACAGTTATGTCTAAGCAGTCATTGTAAATACAACACTGCTTGAATATTAAACATTTGACTAAAATATATGATGCCAAAAAGTACTGATAACTTCTGGGGGCCTTACTAGGACTGAACCCAAGGTCTCGGCATTGAAATGCATCCCTAGCCCATTTGAACTGTGTATTTTGAGACAAGGTCTTGCAAGGTCACTACGTTGCTCAAACTTGGATCCTCTCGCTTCAGCCTGAGTACTGGGAGTATAAGCACACACCAACGCCCCTGGCTCTGAGTCTGCATTTCACATTCCACCCACCTCACTCATTCAGCAACATATAAATAGAAGGTAGCTCGTATAATGATATACAAATAAATTCGGCCTTGCTGAACACTGAATGGATGAATGCCTTCTTTCACAAAACTGGTGTGAAAGTGGTTCTTGAGGGGCCGGGGAGATGGCTCAGTAGAATCAGCGCTTGCCTGGCAAGCACAAGGGCCTGAGTTCAATCCCTGGTTCCACCAAAAAAAAAAAAAAAAAAAAAGTGGTTCTTGAGTGTTCCTTCCCGGGAGCCACTTCAGGCAGACCTCCACTTGAATGAGGCGTGCTCTGGCCCTGGGATGGGGTGTGTGACCTACGAAAGGTAGCCCAGGACAAGAGCAAGGGTGCCGGACCACTCAGCATCCAGGGGTGAGGTTTCTACTGTTTTCCCCTTTCAGCACAGTGTAGGCTAGCAGAATGTCACTCCACAAACATCCTGTATTTTCAAGAGGCACTGGATACTGTCTAGGCAGGAACTTTCTGGTTGTTTCTAGACAATGTCAATGCAAAGAACTACAGGTCGGCCTGGCTAAAGTTGTCACAGAGTCTTCTCAGTGACTGTTTTTAACTTGATAAGAACGTAGGAGTGGGGGCCTGCCCCTTAGCTCAGCTCTTTAAGTGGCTGCTTCAACAAAGCAGTCAGGCTCAGGGTGCTGTGGTTTGATCCCCACAACTCAAGTTAGCCAAACCTGCCCTGAAGGCATTCGGAGCAAACCCCCCCCCAAAAAAAAAACCTTATTCCATTAAAAAAGGGAGGGGGGCGGGGAGATGGCTCAGTGGAATAAGTGCTTCCCTCGCAAGTGCAAGGGCCTGAGTTCAATCCCCAGTTCTGCCAAGAAAAAAAAAAAAAAAAATCATAGGAGTCCTGAAGTGGTTATCTTCTTCCTTTTTCTCCTCATCTCCTTCCTCTTTTTTTTTTTTTTTTCCCTTTTTGGTTTTTGACACAGGGTCTTGATATGCAGTTCAGGCTGGCTTTGATCTTGTAACCTAGGCTGGCCTCAAACTGTGGCAATCCTCCTGCCTCAGCCTCCCAAGTGCTGTGATCGCAGGCACGCGCCACCATTCCTGGCCTGCACGGCAGGCACTCTGGAGCCTCCACACCCCGTGATTCCCTTGGCTCAGTGAAGCTGCCAAAGGGGTTACCTTGTCAAGAAACTCTTCAGCAATCTCCGCAGATGCAAAACATAAGGAGGCAGGAACTTACAGGCGAACCCCAGCAGCTTCTCCATCCAAGGGCGTCTCCTCAGCAGGTCCAGATGGAAGCCTCGGCCCCATCTCTATGGGCCTCTTGGTTCCATCAAAACATTCACCCCCACGGGAGAGGAGTTCAGAATTGTGTGACCCTACCTGATAGACTCTGGGTTAAGGGCCAGGTCTAAGAGCCAGTGGTAATAAACAAAGTACTTGGATAAAATTGAGGCTGAGTCAGAAAGCCCCCTGAGGTAAGTATTTTGCAGAGGCTCACCTGATCTTTAAGTTGAATATGTGTGAATGCAAACACATGTGGATATAAGCACAGAACAGAAAACACAGTGTGAATATATATATGTGTGTATATATATATATATATATATATATTTTTTTTTTTTTTTTGGTGGTACCAGGGATTGAATGAACATACATATCTGATGGTATTCACTTTTCTACAGGAATATTAATAGTCATTAAAAAGGTGTGAAGAATCCAGTGGTCAGAAACCATACCCCAGAGTTCTGAGTCCCCGGCCACGTACTCTACTCCAATGACAATCACTCAGGCCACAGGGGTTGCTGCAGAGAGGCCCGTGGAAAGTACATACACGGAAAAAGAACAGATAGAAAACAAAATAATTCCTGACAGCAGTCCCAGGGAGAAATCCCTGAGAGGCCCAGGGCCAGCCCGCCTCTGAGCCTGGTGCAGACCCTGCCAATGGCCCGGCCACCTGCGTGGCCAGGGGAGGTGTGTGATGCCCAGAGCACAGAGCAGGGAGGGTACTCACGCTGTCGTTGCTTCCTTTGTTGTCCTCGTACTTGGTTTCTATATGGATGGAGAATTTTGGCAGGAAGGAACACTATGGAGAAAAAGAAAGCTTTCATTAGCGCATGATTTTTCCTCTTCGCTACATAGTGTGGCTTCTGGCCGCTGCCCTGGGCCACAGGTGCCTGGGTACTACGTCAACATCCTAATGGAGTGAGGACAGCCACCGCTGGGAGTAGGATCCCAAGTTCTTCCTGACGTAAAGCCAGAGGCAGCAAGTAAAAGGGAAGGCAGGCGCTCCTCTTGACCCACTTCCGAAAGGAGTATAGTCTGTGAGTCCTGCACCAGGTAGCAGAACACACCTCTGAAAGGGAGGTCGATTCCACATACAGGCGAATGTACAGCAGAGCTTTACAATCAGAGGTTACAGAAGTCAGATAGACTTGTTCATTATTTTTTGTTTATTGCCATCATTTGCATGACTGGGGCTCAATCCCTATCCATTTAATTTACTCTGAGACAGAATGGAGCCAAGTGACCCAGGCTGCACCTGAATTTCCAATCCTCCTTCCTCACCCTCACATAGTGTTTTGATTGTGGGTGTGTGTTCCCGTGCTCAATCTGAGCTGGGTCTCAATATGTGACTTTGGATAAGTCATTTCATCTCTCTGAATCCCAGCAGTATTCAAACAGAAATAACATTATCTGAGAATGATGCTGTGAGGGTCAACTATAACACACACAAAAACGCAGTGCTGAGCGGCGGGGCTCAGCTCAGAGACAGAGCGTGCAGACACAGGCCCCGGGTCTCGTCCCCAGAACATATGTATCTGTACATATTTCATTGCATTTGTTCGCGCCTACTCAGCGGTTGGCACTACAGCCATCAGTAAGGCTGTAGTGGAGGGCTACAGGGCTTCTTTTTAGCTGTATGAGGGACAGAAGCCCGAAAAGCAAGCCACCCTGGCGGCGTCTCAGGCTTGCTCAGCCCCATTCTGTGCGGCCGGTGGATCTGGAGACTGAAGGCGCCTCGCAAGGAGGCTTTGGACAGCTACTGGTATAACCACCCCTTGCTGGCTATATGGGTGGGTGTGAACTTTCTCAGCCACCAGAAATGCAGGCTAATGGAGAAAAGGATCCAGCTGACTGGGGGCGGCCAGCGGTACAGGCGTGGCTTGGTCTGATCACAGCCCCAGGATGCTGATCTGACACTCAGGATGCGTGCTCTTTGCGCCAGACATGCCCAGGATGCTTTAGGTCCTCGTGCCCGTATTCCTTGCAACTCCACCAAGCACAGAGGTACGGAGAGGTTACCTACAGGGTCCTCAACCACACACCATGCGTGTCCTGGAGTCAGAGCTGACAACCAGGCAGCCTGGGGCAGCGTCCACACTCCTGTTATCCCGGGGCTTCTCAACGGGAGCCCATGGTCTTGCAGCGACGGCATCACCAGAACTTGCCAGAAATATCCTGGTCCAGCCCTGCCCCAGGCCACCCAAATCAGAAACCTGAAGGTGTGGCCCAAGATCTGTGCCGCAGCCCGCTGGGGCCTGCTGGCCCATGTGCTATCATGCACCTCGCCATGCTGTTCACGAGAAGCAAACAGCCTCATTCTGGGACCTCAAACACCTCAAAGCCCACAAATGCGCCTTCACCTCAAGGCATATGCCCTGCTACGACCACAATCCCTGGCCACCCAGCCGAGACCCGGGGCAGCTGTACAAGAGGGCAAATTCTTGGGTGAGTTGTGGCTAATTCCTGGGCGTCACACGCCTGTGTGCATTTGGCATCCATCTGTCTTAATCTGAGTGAAACAAGCAATCCGAACCGTGACTAAGGAAACGCGGAAACGACCAATCTCTGTAATTGTCTGTGCAGTGAGTGAGGCCCTGCTGTCTCCTCTCCAGCCTTACTGGGTCAGTGCTGCCCACACGCCCCGTTCCGGGCATCTGGAGGTGGGGCTGTCATCACCAGTGCCCACCATGCAGGAGCCGAGCCCTGAGCAGGCTCTGGGTTGAAGCACCGGCCTGGAGACCCTCTCAGGAGTCACAAGCCCGGGGCCTGGCACATAGCTCAGTAGCACAAGTGCCTGCCTGGCAAGCGCAAGGTCCTGAGTTCAATTTCTGGTACCAAAAACAACAACCAAAACAACACACAAGTCTTTACATGAATCCACGTTTCAATGTTTTCCCCTTGATTTCTACTTTTAAACCCATAATTCATCTGAGGGCCAGGCTGCTAAATTTGAGAGAAAAGAACAAAGAAGGGCATGAGCGGGTTGTGGGACTCCAAGCAGAAAACTGCCAGGGTTTTTCCACAGAACCTAAAAACCACTTAGTTGGGTCAAACAAATGAACTTTAACAATAGAGTTTTAAACCTAAATATGAAATGCAAAAGCTCCATGCAAATTAGCAGATGTAGGTATTTTTGAGGCAAAGATGTTGGTTATTTCCATATCGGAAAGGGAGGCGAGTGGGAGGCCCCCTTCAGCAAAGCCTCAGGGGGACCTGAACCAGGCGCTGGTGGGCGCCCTCTCCTCGGGCAGGGGGTCTGGGCTTATAATCCTGCTGTGTGTCTGAGGCCTGCAGCGCGCAGAGGGCTTGGCTCACACCAGAAGGCTCTGACTCGGGTGCTTTCCAAGCTGCCCCTGAGCCTGGGAGCTGCGCATCCTGTCCCGCTTCGGGTAGTGTTTCTAGAGGTGTCCAGTCCTGGCAAAGCTCCTCTTCGCTCTCCGCTCGGCTGGACCTCAGCCCCTGAGACACTGGCTTCCCCTTTCCTCTCTGGCAGCCATTTACTTTGACTCATATTTTGAGAAGTGCGATGCACTTATAAGCTGTCTTTTCCTCCACTGTAAATCAGCTTATTTCTTTGTGCGTTTTGTTGCTTCTGAATCCAAGGAAATGCCTCCTTTTTCGGGGGGGTCTTTTTGAGACGTGGTTTCATTCTGCAGTCCTGGCTGGGCTTGAACTCACTAAATTGCCCTGACTGACCTGGAGCCTGTGATCCTCCTGCTTCAGCCTCCCAGGTGCTGAGATTACAGAGGGCACCACCAGGCCCAGCTTTTAACGATGTGTGTGTGTGTGTGTGTGTGTGTGTGAGCGCGCGCCTCCAAAATCAACACCTCTAATTCTAACTTCTTACTTTTTTTTTTCTTTTTCAAACTGTATCTGGTACAGGGTCTCACTACACAGCTCAGACTCATAGTGATCCTCCTGTTTCCAGCCTCCTCAGCACTGGGGTTACAGGTGTGCACCACCACACCTGGTCTCCATGCCAGGTTCAGCATGCCCAGGGGCGGGGCTGGCACGGCATGTGGTGCCAGGGATTGAACCCCTGTTCCTGTGCTTGCTGAGCTATCTCGCTGGCCTCCAACTTCTTCTCCAACAGCTACAACTCACCCCCATAAAGGTCCTCCAGGAACACCAAACCTGTAAGGTTCATAATGAACTTAAAAATTCCCCCTCCCTGTAATAATTTCTTAGAGTTGTTATAACAGATCACCACAAACCTGACATTCTAAAGAACCTTAACTCTCTCATAGTCCTGGGGGTCGGAAATCTCGGGGTTGTGGCACTAGGCAACGGCCCCTTACCCATCTCCTCCAGCCTCCGGTGGCCCCAGGGCCTCCACGACTGTGGCTGCACCCCTCCAGTCACTGTCTCCTTCATGTCACCTCTAAATCTTACTTGAAGGCCATCTTCCATAGCACTTCTGAATGACCACTGTCTGGGCAGGTAGCGTCCTATGTGTCCCTTTGTCGTGGCGCACAGCTCCTGCCTTTGCCACTGGTAGCTGTCCACGTGTTTGGAGACCAAGGTGATAAAGGCTTCTCACTTTCCACTGCCCTCAGGGGTGGCGTCTCTCGCAGTCACCCCAGTCACTCAGCCTCAGAGCTGGGCTTGCCGCTTCCGTGGGCAGTACCACACATGGTGGGCTCATTCTCTGGGGCCCTCCAGGGGGCACAGCTCCGCCACAGCACCTAAGACTCCATTCTTTACAGCAGAGATTATTTGTTGGCCTTGGCGTCGCGAGAGGGCCTGGTGGCTAGAACCCTGGAAGGCGTCTGGGAGCTGAAGGTGCAGCCAGCTGCAAACAGGCCCTCAAGGCAGTGAACCCCACCAACAACCAGGGAGCTTGGAGAGGAGCCCGAACCCGGGAAGAGATGGAAGACTCGGCCGACCCCTCAATTTCAACTTGGCCACTGACTCAGTTCCCTGGGCTCTCAGCCTGACCAACTGAGACTGTGAGAGAACAAATCTTCATGGCTCTGAAGTTGCCAGGTCTGTGGGGGATTTGTGACACAGCAATAGAAAACCAGTCTGACACCCGACTTGCCCGCTGCCCCCTTCCAGAGCTCCCACCAGGCGCTCATCCGTGAAGTATCACTCCTGCTGAGGTTCCGATGCCCCCAAGCTTGGGGGCTTGTGCTGTCCCTGCCTTTGGATCCCCCCACAGCACCACCTGCTTCCCAGTGGCCACTGCTCACACCCTGGAGATATTTACCAGTGACCAAGCCAGAGAACTTGCAGTGTGGCACACCTGCCCAAAGAGGGGACATGTGGTGCAGGTTTTGGAGTGAGACACACTCTACCTCAAGCCCCAGCTTCTCTTTGTACCAACGGTGACCTCAGACACTTTGCCTCGTCCACCCCCTTGTGCCCAAGTGTCACCCTCCATCCTGTAGAGACAACCCCAGTCCCCTAGCCAGGAGGGTAGGGTGACAACAAGACAGTGAATGCCCAAGGTCAGGCATGGCTGGCGGAGGGGCTGAAGAAATGGTGCCCACTAAACCTCTGACCTCGACACACCCATACAGAGTTCGGATGTTGCAGGGATGTGTCAAACTGGGTGAGGAAGAACTTTCACTGTGAAGGGCCCGGTGCACTGGAGGGGGTGAGCTCATGGGGCTGTGGGCACGGCAGGACACGTGACCGTGGGTCTCTCCCAGGGCATGGGTGACTGCTGAGCTGTGGAGCAGATTTGGGTCCCTTCCGCCTCCTTCAACCCCCTGGCTCAGAGGATCTGTGCTGGATCCTCCAGGCTCATCCTTCTGGACAAGAGTTCTTTCCCTTGGTCTGCTTCTCTGTGTTTTT